ATCTTCTTGGGACTGATTTGCATGACTTTCTTGATTACTCGTGTATTTAATGGTTTTCTCACAGCAGCCTCCTCTTGTGATTCATTTGCACAGTGTTCTTGATGGTGTTGTGCATCTAATTGTCTCCTCATAATAGCCTCCTCTTGGGACACATTTGCACAGCTCTCTTGATGTCACTTTAAGTCCAGCCACCTTCTTCGTGTAGCTTGGTCCTCAGGGCTTAATTCATCTGTCTGTGTGTCTGTCTGTCCGTAATGCTCTTTAAAGGTGCCAGGAGCCTGGCACGGCAGGGGGGGCAGAGGGAGGGGCCAGCTGAGGAAAAGAGGGAACTGGGCTCTTGGCTACTGTGAGGCTCCTTTCTTGATGGTGTTGTGCATCTAATTGTTTTCTCACAGTAGCCAGGAGCCTGGCTTCCATTTTTCCTCAGCTGGTCCCCCCCTCTGCCCTCCCCATCACGCCGGGCTCCCGGCACCCTTAAAGAGCATTACGAACAGGTAGACGGATGGGCTAAGCCCTTTATATATATATGGGCTTAGTCTGTCCATCTTCAATTATATAGGGCTTAATATAATACTATACTATATATATCTTAGTTTTCTTGCAACCACAAAGTAAACTTAGCCTTTAGCTTATATTCCAGCTCTATTATTTAGGAAATAAAAGTATTCTTATTTTAATGCATCTGTACATATTAAACATTTTCATAATGAAGGTGCTTAGTGTTGGGATCTCTTAATTTACTGGAAGAGGAATCGTGGTATTTTAACCTGGCTCAACACCATCTGTATAGATTGGGTGCTCCAGCGGTGTTTTTGGCACTTTTATCTAATAGCTGATTCAATCAATTATTAGTTAAAAGTGCCAAAAAGCCCTGCTGAAGCACACTATACAGACATTGGGCGAGCAGAGTCAAAGTAATGCCATGGTTCTGCTGTGCTCGGTGCAGGGGCACGCCAAGCTGAAAGTAAAGTGCTTTTCCCCCCATGTTTGTAAGCAGCCTGTGGGTATTTATACACATACCTTTTCATCCGACCATGTGCCGGAGATACACTGGATTGAAGCAGACTCGATTATTTGAGCCTGCTCCACACACAAACTGACTGTGCTGTGTTGTGCAGTTGTGTAAGTGGCAAAATGTGCATCAACATGCAGAAAATGGTGGTAGAGTGCTTTTGAAATAAAACAACTTAGATATGTTTTAGTTTAAAAACGCACCGCTGCCATTTTCTTAGTACTTGCATGCATTTTGCCACTTATACAACTGTATGCTCTGCAGCACCAGGCACTTTTAAAAGCACCCAATGCTGCAGTGCAAATGTGTACAAATGCCCAATATGTTTTAAAGTACCTGTGCCCTAGTGTTTTAGTTGTCAGCAGTATATAATGCATTACACTCTTTTTTTTTTAATGTCTCATAGCAGATGTTTCATTTATGATGTGGTTAACATTTTAATCATGCCATAAATATCAACATGCCATGCATTCAGCCAATGAGTATTCTATTAAATGGAAAACTATCCACAAAGATGTTCTACATGTAATGTAGAGCATCTTTGCAGCTGGTTTGTGTGGTTCCATAAATTGAATGTGTGGCATATCCTACCTGGTACTGCCCCATCCTGATGCCAACAATCAGTTACAGATTTATCCATAAGCAGCATCAACGTTGGGACAGGTGCAGTCTTAGGTTCAGAACTCAGCCAGGGGCAGCCAGTCCTGATGCTGACAATCGTGTGATGGTTAGCATTGGAACTGGGGTCTGCATTGGGACCAGGACAGCCCTGGTCCCAAGGCTGACAAGGGGTGCTGGGTACATGGCTTGCAAGTGGGTCCCTCCTGGGCTTGCAGTCTGTGTGCCTGGGATTTTTTCAGGTGACCCAGCACATTTGATGCCTTGCCCAGAAGCCACTACAGGAGCTGCAGAAAAAAGCAGTTAATATGCCAGGTCATGGCGAGCGAAGCTCTCTTGCAACCCATGCACCCAGCCACCTGCTCTAAAGACCCTTGCCCCACAGTTCCTGCAACCTGGCACTTACCATGAGAGCCTTACCCTGCAGCTCCTGAAGGGCAAGCTTCTGTGGAAGCTGCAGGGCAAGGAAGTTAGCATGCTGGGCTGGTCTGTGGCAGGCTGGGATGCCATGTGTGCAACATTAATCTCCACGGTGGGGGGACATAATCCCTTGGCTGCCCCTGACGGGAACTTGGCAAGCCACATTTGGGTTGCAAGAGTCTTGTTAAAGTAATGGTGCAATTAGAATCAGTCCCCAGCTCCAATCTCACATCCAACAGCACCCTTAGAGACAGAAATAATTAAAAGTACATATCCCATAGCATACATTTTATATTTTCCATTTTTTTAAAGAAATATGTTACTGCAGTTTAATATTTTCAATATTGAAATTACTATCAACTTTTTAAAAAGAGCAATCATTTCTGAAATTCTGGCATTTTGTTGTACTCTAAAAACAATAAAAACAAAAATGTTAATATATAGGTAAAAGTTCTCATAACCACAGATACTGATGTCTAAGAGAAGAGAGCATGTTTATTTTGGCCATCTTTGATTTCTGTTTCTAAATCTCCACTTATTTGCCAGAGGAATTGATATTTTTCTTTATGATTGGAGTATAAGAATGGGAAATGGTTCGTGCATAAGCTAAGAAAAAAACTTGTTTCAGAGACAGAGAGAGAGAGTGCACATGTGTTTACTTGCAACTCTAAGGGTGTGTCCACACATGCAGGCATGTGCACTTGCAGCAGCTCAAATAGATGCAGCACGAATTTGAGCCGGGGCTTTTTGCCTCAGCACCCATTCCTGGACATGCACTTTGGTGTGGGGCAAATTTTGCCACTTCGGGCAGAATAATCCTGCCTGGCTCCTCCTGGATCTACAGCCAGGGGGAGCTAGAGTGTACAAAGCTGACCTGTGCTGGCCCCAGCAGAATAAAAGGCTGCCCTGCCAAGTAGCTCAGGGTACTCGCTCTCAGGAGCTTCTGGGGCCCAGCCAATTGGTACCTGGGGACACTACCCCTTGTGCCAGCTGGACTGCTGAACCAGCCCTGAGAGTTCCCTGCACCCTCTACCCACTGTAGCAGTCTGGCAGTGGGGGCTGCTGCCTGGCTGTGGCCCCGAGGCTGCATGCCTGCCAGACCCAGATGGGGGCAGCATGGCCGTTAGAGGCATCTGCACTTCTGGGCCAGCTGCTAGTGGGCTGTGGCAGCACAGTTGGCCTTTGTGCAGCACTACTGCCACGTGTGCCACCACCTGACCATCTGGGCAGCTATCGCCCGGAAGATGTTCTCAGTGTGGTGGCCTGCTTTGAACTGCCAAAGCATGTCCTCCTGTCATAGCTGGTTCCTCTGCCTGGGTTCTGCCACTTGCCTCACTAGCAGGAATTCTGATGTTGCCTATTTAAAAAACTGCAAAATCCCAATATATTTGGGTAAAAAAAATTTCCAAAGTCACTCTTTAAAATACCCGCAAATCCATGTTCTTCCACAAAAGTAAACAAAAGACCACTAGACATACGTGTGTGTGTA